CAGTGAGAAAGTGACTGAAGTTGAGATACCAGGTTAGAACCAATAACATTACAGAATCTTCATTGGAATTTGTCAAGTGTCTCAGGAAATAGAGGAGGAACACCAGACAAGATATGACAGCAATATTCAATGTTCAGATGAATGGTAGATTTATAAATTTGCAAGATTGATTCTGATGAAAAATTATCTACCAGGACACAGTGAACTAAACTTCTTAGCAGCAGACTTAGAAATTCCCTGACTTTTAGAGATTATCAGAGTACCAAAGCAGTATTCTAGGAGTTACCTTGTGTAGAAGAGAACGAAACCAACATGAAATAAGACCTCAACTAGTGTATACCAAATGTAGGTAAGAGTTGTATTTTCTGAATGATTGGCTGTTTGGAAAAGAGAGGCTCTCACCATGGATTGCATCACTGCTGGATTTATATGGCAGTTGGTGTGATTGTTTTCAGGAAAATGGTGACGATTTGACATAAAAAAAAAACATATCTAATCTGTAGTTCTAAGTACAGGTACATAAGATTAACATTTTTCAATGTCAAGAGACTATGTTGATGCTTATAATTGAGAGAGGACTGTTTGGATTGCTTTGATTTACAACTACTCTGATTTCCACCTGTTCATTTTATTCCCCATGCCTATCTCCTCTCCAAGTAATATTAGACAGCTTGTACTAGGTTACATCAGTAGTTGATTTGTCCCATTGGAGTGTCATGCTGGATTTGGCCTTCATAGTATCTCTAGGTCAGGGTGCACAAAATACAAGTCACATGTTGCCCATGAGATAACTCATTGTGGCCTGCAAGAGGTTTTCAAAATAGTAAATTTTTGTGGCTATAAATTCAGTATCTGATTTTGTATAAAAATTCAGTCTTGTGGAAGCCTGACTTTATTCAGCCATTATATGTTTTTGATTAATGTAAATGTTTTCTAGGATGCATCAGTGGATTTGCACCTTATTTTTTTTTTTTTACTCAGCAATTTACTCTCAAATTTTACTCTTGCGGCCAGCAGCTAATTTTCTGCAAGGAATATTTGGTCTTCATGAAAAAGGCCAAGAGTACCCCACTTCTGTACAAGTGAAATGAAAGAAGTCATATAAAATGGCATAATTAGTTATTAATCAACTAAGCCAAGTGATCATTGTGATAAAACACATGGTACACTATTTACATTATTTGGATTATTGCCCTCATCTTTGTTGCTATATTTATTACAACATTTCAGATGTATACTCTGGCCTTCTTCAGATGGTTGGAATGTTGAACTAAACCCTTTATTTCACTCATTGGGGTAGACTGTTCTCGTTCCATGTGCCATATTTTAATGGATGTTAGTTGTCAATGATCTCCTTATAATACCCAGAAATTTGTACACAGATGTCCTCAAGGACACATGCCACAGGAGATAAAGGCGTTAGTTAGATCCAGTGACAGGACCCAAAGAGTGTGAGTTCAATAACCGGTTAAGGCAGTGGAGAACTTTCAGAGAGAAATTAACAGGAGATAACTGACATCAATTAAAACATGGCATGTGGAACTAGAACAGTCTACCCCAGTGAGTGAAATAAGAGGTTTAGTTCAACATTCCAACCACCTGAAGAAGGCCGGTGCATACAACAGCTGAAACATTGTAATAAATATGGCGACAAAGATGAGGACAATAGTCTGAATAATGTAAATAGTGTACATAATAACTCATCTCATAAATATCGAAAGATACTGACGGGCCGAAACGTTGTAATAAATATGATGACAAAGATGAGGACAATAGTCCGAATAATGTAAATAGTGTACATAATATCTCATCTCAGAAATATAGACAGATACTGAAAGGCCGAAACGTTGTAATAAATATGGCAACAAAGATGAGGAAAATAGTCCGAATAATGTAAATAGTGTACATAATACCTCATCTCAGAAATATAAACAAACACACATGGTCTTTTATAGCATTTCTCAGGTAAGGAAAGCTATAAGATAGGACTGATATCTTCTCCGAGTAACATGTGAGTGTAATACTGGGCTATATACTGGTTGATTCTGTGACCAAAGATATTATCTGGAAACTATATTATGTTCATTATCCTCTTCTTTATGTGCTGTGTCCCCTCAGGATACAGGCAATCATGGCTCTCCACAACTTCTTGTCCATTATAGCTCTTAATAAACTTTATCATTCTGCTATATTCCCTAAACTCTGTTCCGACATCCATTTACTCAAGCTCATAATGGCATGCATTGTTTTCCTCTGTCCCTCTTGCCCTTTATCTGTCAAGTGAGTACCAAATTTTCCAAGCTCTCCTTCCATCTTAGATACCCCAGAAACTTCAACTGTTAAGAGGAGGAGATAAGCTCACCTTCCTTCCATGTCTATTGAACAGGAGTAGAGGTTCATCCCTTGTTCCCTGATCAGTAAATTACTAGTTCTCTATCTTTCTTCTACTAGGACCACAATGATTGAACTGTCTCTACTTTTTGGTGGTCGGACTAACCAGTGGCTGTGACTTTCTATAATGAGGGTAGCGGGTTGGCAGTTTGCTGGCTGTTGTTTCCGACTGATTGTTAGGAGCCCAAACATTTTTGGTAGTGTTTAGAGAGGTTACTCTGATCAACAGTCACATAATTTTGAAGTATTTGTAGTGTCATGTTGTGCATGGGTAGGTGTCCTTGCATATATTGCTGGGGGGTAACCCTGAGGCCACACTATGCTCTGTTCTCAGCCATGCACTGGCTGGTTTATATTGCCATTGACGACTGTCAATTATGGTGGTCTTTTTCCTCACTCCTCAAAACACCTTTCATGGAAATCACAACAAAAAGAAATAAAACTAAACCAGCTAACAAAAAACCACACTCAATCTGTCTTTCTCTAATATACATGGTATCCTGATCATTCCAACAAGGTCAAAATAGCAGCTTATATACAAAACGACCTCAAGACCATTGTTAACTGAGATAAAAGATGGCTTGTCAATTTTAATACCTCCAAAACTAAACTTTTCTCTATTAATAAAATGAGAGAGCCCTCTCGGCCTAGCATAGCTGATGGTATCCTTCAGAAAAGTAACTCGTGCCTTCTTGGGCTACCGTTTTCAGCGGACATGAAATGGAAAGCCTATATTGAATCCATTTCTTGCTGCTAAGAAAGTCAGTTCACAGAGTCAGGTGTGACAATTCTTCTTTCCTGAATCTATCTTTCATATCAATGTTTACCATTTGCACATACTTAGAATATTGCTGCCATATATGATCCAGTACCCCTGCAATTTACCTGGTGTTCCTTGATAAGATCCAAAGAAGAATCAGCAATATTATTATTCATGATCTGGCAGCTTGCCTTCAGTCACTTGTCCACTACCATAAGGTTGCTTCTCTCTGCCTTTTTTTTTTTTTATAAATACTTTCATGGTATCTGTTTAGATGAGTTCTTTGCTATAGTACCTGCATTGTATAAATTTCAGTGCAAGACTAGACTGGTGATGAAATCGCATCAATTTACAGTTGAGCTAGCTGGAAAATAGTCGTAATTTCTATACTAACAGTTTCTTTTCTCACACTTCTGGCTCCATGCTTTCCAGACAACTTTAACCGGCAAGAATTTAAATGCAATTTCAATCGCTATCTACTGTCCCCCCTGAATGCACTTTTCTCTTTCTACTCATGACTAATGTTTCTGTCCCTAATTCCTCCACACCCTGTAACCCCTTGCATGTTAGTGGCTGTACTGCCTTGCTTGGGGTGACACTGAAGGAAAAAAAAAAAAAATAATTGAAATGAATTAGTACTGAAATATGAACAAATAAAAAAATTCCTTCAGGAAATTTTTCTCCCCGGAATCGATCCTCCAGATCTACATATCAACAATTCGCCCTTGCATGGAGTATTGCTGCCATATATGGTCTGGAGCCCCTTCTGTTTGCCTCGGGGGTTCTTGATAGGCTCCAGAGGTGGATATGCAATATAATTGGCCCTGATCTGGCATCTCGTCTACAGTCACTTTCTCACAGATGCGCCGTCACCTCTCTCTGTCTGTTTTACAAATACTTTCATGGCAATTCCTTTGAGGAGCTGCATTCACTGGTTCCCAGACTTCATGAATTCAAGCGTCCTACGAAGCTGGCATCCTGCTCTCACCCCTTCACTGTCGAAACTCCTAAATGTAGCTGTCTCTTCTACTCCACTCACTTCATGTCTCACACCTCTCGCCTGTGGAACTCCCTTCCCTATTCCAGTTTCCCTGAGAGCTATAATCTCCAGCTATTCAAATGCAATGTCAATCGACATCTCCAGTTGCCTTGATCTATCCACTACCCTTCTCCTCATCCTTTCTTCTATCACTCCTATCTGATCTTGCTCGAAATTTTCTGTAACCCCTTGCATCCTAGTGGCTTCCCACCTTGCTTGGGGTGAAACGCTTAAAAAAAAAAAAAAAAAAAAAAAAAAATTCTCATTACCTGTAGATCTTCTTTCTTTTTTGGTCAGTCTTTTCTTCCTGAAGAAAAAACAGTTGAAGCACTATCTGTGCATTATATCTCCATTCAAGTAAAATATTCACAGTGACATTTTTGGTTTCTTTTGCTGAAGCAAGGAAAAAAATCATGAACAAAACGTGTGATCTTATCGTCATCATACCTTGCATTTATTTTGATAAAGTGTTTAAGAATTTCTTGCAGTCTGTTCAAGAGATTTCAATCCACATGACTTGAATCATTCCTCATCCTGTCATCTCCTCTCACCCCCTGTGTGAAATAAAAAACCCACATGTACTTCCCTTAAAACTGCCACCTACAAAAGTAAAACTTGGGAGGGTATTTAAAAAAAATGGAAGGAGTCGCAGATTTTTTTTTTCCACCAATTCTAGCATGAAGTCTTTTCACTATTCTACAAATTATCATTATCATAATCATTAATTTTTATCATTATGAATATTTTCTGGTACAATCAATCATGGCTTTCTGAAAATGTACTGATGAATCTGGCTGTGTTTATAAATTACTAAATTGTTTTTAAATATTTTTCTGCTTCATTTTCTAAACAAGAGTTAAAAGAGACTGCAATAGATAGATAGATAGATAGATAGATAGATAGATAGATGAACATACTGAAAATTAATGGTGAAAAGAGATAGATAGATAGATAGATAGATAGATAGATAGATGATAGATAGATGAACATACTGAAAATTAATGGTGAAAAGAGATAGATAGATAGATAGATAGATAGATAGATAGATAGATAGATGAACATACTGAAAATTAATGGTGAAAAGAGATAGATAGATAGATAGATAGATAGATGAAGATACTGAAAATTAATGGTGAAAAGAGATAGATAGATAGATAGATAGATATGAACAGTGAAAATTAATGGTGAAAAGAGATAGATAGATAGATATGAACAGTGAAAATTAATGGTGAAAAGAGATAGATAGATAGATAGATAGATAGATATGAACAGTGAAAATTAATGGTGAAAAGAGATAGATAGATAGATAGATATGAACATACTGAAAATTAATGGTGAAAAGTGATAGATAGATAGATATAGACAGACTGAAAATTAATGGTGAACAGAAATAGCTACATTAAGAATTGTATAAATAGAATATATATATATATATATATATATATTACTTTAGGATATTACAACAATATATATATATATATATATATATATATATATTTTAGTATAGTACAACAAAGAGACTGCAATAGATAGACAGATAGATAGATATGAACATACTGAAAATTAATGGTGAAAAGAGATAGATAGATAGATAGATATAGACAGACTGAAAATTAATGATGAACAGAAATAGCTACATTAAGACTTGTATAAATAGAATATATATATATATATATTTTAGGATAGTACAACAAAAACATATAAGAATCGCTACACAATTGCAGTTGTGTTTCAATGCATAACGATGTGTCTTCTCAGGTGATTGTAAATTAATGTTGAGTAAACAATTAATTTGGTTTCAAAAGCAAAATACATTCTCATTTTTTGAAAAAAAATATAAGGCTTGAGGACTTTGTCATATTAATCATTCACTCACCAGTTGCCTGAGGAGTCGCATCACTATGTGTTGAAACATGACTGCATTTGTATAATGATTCTTACATGTTTTGTTATAATATTCTAAAATAAGTAATATTGCTCTACTATGTATTGAGTGACAAATGTGACGAACATTGATAGTGTACTCTATTCATTCTCATCATGCCTGGATATATATATATATATATATATATATATATATATATAATGTGTGTGTATGTATGTATGTATGTATATATGTCTGTGTGTGTGAAAAGACTGTGATAGATATGCAAGGTATATGCAAGTTTGTGTCAGCTGGGTGGGGGGTGAGATAAGAAATAAAGGCTAAATATGTAGGAGACTAGGTAAGAGAAAAGTAAAAAGGAGAAGGAAGAAATATTTGTATGTTGACGAGAAAAGAGAATGGCCAAAGAATATGCAGAAATGATCGATGTAAAAAGATAGGCACCAGTAATCTGATCATGTCATACTTTCAGAGAATTATAATATGACATGAGTTTTGGATGACAGCTGAAGCTATCTGGTGTCAACACGTCATGCCTAACACATACTGACGCACACACAAACAATGGACACACAGAAAGAAGAAAAAAATTTACTATACTTACATCATATGTCTCTTGTTCTCTCTCTCTCTCTCTCTCTCTATATATATATATATATATATATATATATATATATATAATTGATTAGAAAAAAAGTCCATATATGCTTCATATAATTTATAAAGTAGAAAAACACTGTCCTTCATTTTTTTACCTAGTTAATTTTAATACGTTTTTCATACTGATTTCAACAGTACCCTTTCACTCGACTTTGTTTTATTAACCAATTTATCTACTATATATATATATATATATATCAGAGGAATTAATTAGCTATTTTTGCTGTCATTGTCAAAAATTTTACTTAAATAATATTTAAATATAAATTTAAAAATTAAAAAAAAAATTCTGAACTAGTAATATACATACTTATACTTGATGTGAAAATAATTTTACATACTGTAAGTGATTCTAATACAATAACTTGTTTTAAAAAGAAATATAGTATATTAAAAATTAAAAGGAAATTTTTTTTAAATCGTAGTTAAATAAAACGTATTCTAACCTAAACACCCCACCAAAATTTTTAAGTATACAAACAGAAAAAAATACTGTAAGAATTTTTGCCGTTAACAATAAATTTTTGAAAAAAATCCAAACGGATTTAACGGATGTCAGAATTCGTTGAAAAATACATCCCTACCCCTACCAAAACGTAACTAATAACTGATACATTTAACAACAAATTATAAGTAATTTTTTAAATCAGCTGCCAATTTGACCTTATCAAAAAGATCAGAGTTACTATTAAGATAGATACCAACTTGAGAACTGATGCTATCAGGAAGGTCATTTATGAAAATTAGAAACATCATAGGTTCAAGGATAGAGCCCTGGGGGACACCTGCATTAATGCAAAAAGATCTAGAAGAGTGGCCATTCAAGACAACTTTCATTTCACAATTTAATAAGAAAGATCATTTCAAAAATTCATCCAGAAATACCATAACCTTTCAACTTGTGAAGAAGACCAGTATGCCAAACTCTGTCAAATACCTTTAAGATATCCAAACCAACAGCCTGAGCTTCACCATTCTTATCTAAAGTTTGACAGATTCTTTCAGCAATAATCATTAAAACATCTGCAGTTAACCTAAAAGAAGCAAATTGCTTATCTGAAAGAAGAACCTGTGAGGTGAAATGCTTAACCAATTCAGAGTTAATTAGAGATTTTAGTATTTTGCCAAAAAAAGGCTTCTTTATTGTTAATTACTATTCCTATCTGTATTTCAAAATATTTATATTGCTTAACTTTTGATTTTTTTCTACTATATAGTCTACTAATAGAGGTTGGAAATTATTTAGCAATTTATTTATTGCTATCACTACAAACTTAAGATTTTTTTCATACATTTCTGGTGTTTTTCTGGTCACTTTACACACTTGTTCTCTTTAACCGACACTTGGTTAGCCTTGAACATATGTGCCACTCAAAAGTCCAAGGAAAACATGTTACTGGAATTAGTCAGCCTTTGTAAAGATCGCAGAACTATTCCAACACAATCTAAGAAAACCTGGCATAATAACTGAAAGCACATGGTATTTAAAAAGATTAAGATTTTTTTCTTTGGTCATTTATGATAGTCAAAATCAAAGATCAAAATATAGTAACTGTTCTTTTCATCTAGGGAAGAAGAGAGACAAGGAATTTTCTAAAACTTTACTTTACCTCAAATTATTTAAACTTTCCCTTTCAAATAAAATATTTGGAAAATATTTTGAACAAAAATAAATTTGTGGGTTTTTGATAAAAATAATATTATGAAATATTGCATTGGTTTCTATATTTTGACTTTGTTGTCATTTAACTTTTGAACTTCCTCAACTGGAATGTTACAGAATCGCAAGACTGAGTTTTATTTAAAATTGGGTTGATATGAGAACAGGCCAGATTGGAAGGTCACTAACTATTTTTATCTGTTATGGGAGGTATTTAGATTATAGTGCTATGGCATTGTATAACAGAAAGACAAGCAGGTAAAAAAATAACTTCAATGGCTCTCTTGACATCTGTTTGACTTCTGAGAAAAAACAATCTTTTCTTTGCCTTTGGGAGAAATTACATTGATCAGTAATGAAACTCAATCATAACATTTGTTTATATGTTATTATGAAACCAAATACATCATCATGTAAAAAAATACTTCACAGTTCACAATATGATTGGATAACATGAGAAACTACAAGAAATTATTGCAAACAAACACACACACACATATATATATATATATATATATATATATATATATATATTACAATAAATCATTCTTGCTACCTGAATTTTACCAAAAACAAAATAATTTCCATGCCTGAGGATGACTGAATTTACAGTTGAAAGTACTTGTGTATTAAAGAAAGACCTTATACAGTTTATAATTTTTAAAAACAAGGATCATAACGTTCATTGAGTGATTTGTAGGTTAATACACCTTTAAAATTTTGTTTGTGAAAGGATTTTGCCGTTTTATATCATTAACTTTCCTAATCTACTTTTTGTATGAATGATTCATTGTTATATAAATTGAACTGCACTACATATTTGAGATATATATATATATACAGATCTGCATATCTACACACAACTAGGGACATATTAAAGACCACATAAACTCATTGCTATGCACCTGTAATGTATACATGTGTATGGATGCATATTTATATAGAAAACACTGACAAGCATTCATCAAATACCTATGTAATGTTATGTAGAAGTAGTGGTCACCACTCATTTTATAATTATTTCTGACACTTGTCCTTAGTTTTACCACCAGTAAGGAGTAAAATAGGGAGAAATGCATCAAGATACTATTATAAATTATAACACATCTCTCAACATGAGTTTGGTACACAAAATGTTATGACATAGCCCATAGGACAAAAATAGTGTATTTCTGCCAAATATAGGCAGGAGCTGCATAGTCTTCACTTTCCAGTGATTTATAACATATATATTACAATAAAATTATATCAGATCCATATTTCTATTGCCCCATTAATGCTCATTACAAAATCTGGTATTAATTATCAAATTTAACCTAAGAACTCAGAATGAATTAGAAGTTTCTAAAAGAAATCTGGCATTAATTATCAGTTCCTACCTATAATCCATTAATGATCAGCTTCCCCAAAATGGATATGTGGGTGTGGGTTAATTAAATAACTGGGTGAAAGTGCTCTTCTGGTACTACAAGGAGATCCACTTAAATTCCCATATATTTCCTGTCATCTTCAAAGGATAGAAAGATGTATTGATATTGTAGCCAAAACCTCATCTTTATGAATAGAAGACAGAAACAGAGATTAATATATAAAGTTTTTTTTTTTAATCATTTCACCTCAAGCAAGGCAGGAAAACCTATTTGGATACAGGGAGTTATTGAGAGTGAAAGAAAGAGATACGATAATAAAAAAAAAGCAGGATTCAAGTAGACAGAAGATGATGATTGACATTGCATTTCAATTTTTTGAAGATTGTAGTTGACAGGAAAGTAGGAAGCCAGAAGAGAATTGCACAAACAGGAAGTACAGGAAAAGAGACTATCAACAGAGAAATTTTATGGCTTATCAACCTTTTGCAGGTTATTTAAAGCCAGAAAATATTTGGAGATTGTAAGAACATTTCTGAAGATGATAATCATTTATTGATACAAATCCTACTAAAGACACTTTCAGCATAGAACTTACGGCTGCAACTCGCAATTTCAACAGTGTACATTAATCATTATTAATTTTTATTATTCCTATATAAAAGATGTATTGATAATGTAACCAAAGCCTCATCTTACTGAAGAGGAAACAGAAACAGACATCCATAGATTTTGATTGACTGATTTGTTTTTTATGGCTTATCAACCTTTTACAGGTTATTTAAAGCCAGAAAATATTTAGAGATTGTAAGAATATTTGTTTTGGTGTATTGGATATGTTTATACACAAATGTAGATTTGTGTATATCCACTAGGGTAGGTTGATTTTTCACTTTTTCAGAAAATCAATACGGCACTCCATATGAAAGCTGAGGTTTGATGGGATAAGTACTGACACCAAAAATTAAATTCTTAGCTTTTACCAATTTTTGAGCATTTGGTTTTAAAGATCATCTGATAAATGTACAGAAATACCTAACTTCTGCAGATTTTTGCTTACAAATTGACTTCAAATTTTTTTATTATTTCAAGAATAAATCCAAACAAAGTTGATATCTTTTGTATTAGATTCATTGAATGGAAAATATATTAAAACCAGAATTTAAATTATGAATTGCCACAAGCAAAATATGGAGTTTTTTTTTATTGTATTTGATAAGTAAAAACTGTATCAAAAAAATTACAAAATCACAAAAATGGCTCCTCAATCGATAAGATTTGTTAGATCATTTGTTAATAAAAACAAAAAAATTGATAAAAGTGTATATAACACCATAATACTGCTTGGCACAAATTGTAAGACAATGTTTAAAATGTGCATTGTTTATTGAAAATCACACTAAAACTACTACACAGTATCACATTAAATCATAATATAGCTAAATTGTTCAATTTGTAAAGCTTCACTAAATTATAAATTTTATAAGGATGTGCTATAAAGGCTTTCACTGATCACCAGAATGAAATTCCAACGCTACGATTTTGAACCTAAACTTAATATTTAAACTTGTTTCCTTAAAAAAAAGTTAAGAATTTGGAAAAAAAAACATTATGTGTCATTATTTATCATGTCAAACCCCATATTTTAAATTGAGTGCAATACCATGCTTCTAAAATTGATTTGCCATAATATCCTTGTGTTTATAGACATGAGCAGTTCCTAATTCCTCCATGCTCTGTAACACCTTGCATGTTAGTGGCTGTACTGCCTTGGTTGGGGTGAAACTGAATGAAAAAAAAATG